AGAAAACGTGATCGCTTATTATAGCAAGGCAATGAATGCTGCAGAAAGGAAGAACTGAAAAATTTAGAACAAGGTTCTAAGGTTCATCAGTTTCCAAGTCGTTTCTATCCTTACTTAAATGGAAAAATGTTTACACACTGGAGAGATCGTGCGGCTTTAAAGTGGCTGAGGAATTTCTACAATCCAGAAGGTAGGATAGCAGGATGGCTCCAGAAACTTTTGAGAACCATGGAAATGTTAACACTATCCTGATGAGTTTGTATTACAAAAGGTAATATAGGCAATCAACATAAAGTGAAACAGAACATAATCCTATACGAGGCATCAAGTAAAGAAGAACTAATGTGTTTCAATACTGAACTGAAAGATGCTCAAACAAAATATATGTTTTAAACCAATTATTCGATCGATCAGAAATGATGCAGAATGACCCTCATGGCAGACAGTGGCTCCATATAACCCAAAGACAAAGATGTACTTGGCACAGTGGAATTTGTTATGCTTATGAAAATACTTGTTATGCAGAAATGGGAAGATACCAAAGGACAGAAATTGTGAATACAGTTAGTTCTTCCACAGGCACTACAATCAGAGACACTCTCTCATCTCTTAAGCCTTCCACTTAAGTATTAAGAAGACACTAGAGAGTAAGAGAATACTTATACTGGGTTGGGTTTCAGAAATCTCTATAGAGTTAGTATACATCTTGTGAGCTATGCTGTGAATAAAAATGCCTACAAAAAGACAACAATATGGGCAACTACACCAACATTGTGATAGCTGTTGTCAATGTGCTTGATCCTCTATTACAGGAAAAGAGGGGTAATAAATCGATCATTTAGGTAATGATCGATTTCACCAACTGGCCCAAGGTATATGCATTTGTAACTGGGAAGCAATATCTCTAGCAAACGAACTTGCTTGTCAATGAACTTGTTTCAAGGTCTTTGGTGCTTATGGAACATCACTCAGGTCAGGGATGGAACTTTGACTCTATCTTGTTTGTGGGAGTGTGTGTCACATCTTTGAAATCAAAGAGACCAGAACAACAACCCATTTATGTTTTTATAGAATTAGCCATTTATGTGGATTGACATAAGAAAACGTGAGATCAAAGTCTTTCACTGTTACTCAGGAGTTATTAGACAGCAGTGCATGAAACAACAGGCAATATTCCAATATTTCTGATTTTTTGGAGAAAATTCAAAGTGACATTGGACCTTTTGTACTCACATCCTGAAGATAATATATTAACAGAGCCTTCCACAAAATATGCAGAGGATATAAGGGGTATTGTTGATGCCATACATTACTTAATCCGAGAAAAACTCAAATTCGTTAATGATAGGATGAAATGTCACTATGGTGTAAGTGCTGACAAGAGAAGAAGACCATCAGAATGATTTAGTGAATGTGTAGCTTAGAGACAGTAATTAGGAAAGCATGGAAGATTCTGTTTATTGATAAAAATTTTGATTGCAATTTGTTTAACGCATGTAATTAATGATTTCGTGAGTGTAACGTCTGTTTATGAATATTACTATTTGTTAATCGTAAGTAGCGTACATGTGTAGCAACGTTGAAGGCTGCATTTTTAGAATTTTAATTTAAAAGGTTTTTATTATTCGCTGAAAGGAGTTTTAGTTATGACGTATCATGATGAGTGCGTGATGTTTTCATTTTTCTCGAAAGTTGGAGAAGCTTCTGAATGATATAAAAACTACAGGTAGAGTAGTAATTTGCTAATCGGATGATTGCTTAATAAGTTATTGAAGGATTATTGTTTCTGTATTAGTTACTTTAGCACCGTAAATTTTGTTTCCAGTAAAACTTGCGGTAGAAGAAAGAAAACGCTTTCCTTTCGTTAAGTTTACGAAGTAACAAAAAGAACCCGCTCATCAATAGGAACAGTTATAAAATATAATTCTGACATTGCCCAGAATTAGAGAAATGAGTGTAAATTTAAAAAGTATGTCATAGTCTTGTTAGGATGCAGGTTGCAGGTTCGAATCCCATCACCGAATATGTTTGCCCCTTTTTGCCGTGGGAGCGTTATAATGAGACACTCAATCCCACTTTTCGTTGGTAAAGAGTAGTCAAAGAGTTAACAGTGGGTGTAATTTGTCTAGCTGTCTTCCCTCTAATCTATCAAGTTAGAAACAGCTAGCGTAGAAATCCCTCGGGTAGCTTTGCGCGAAATTCAACAAACAAACAATACCAAAAAACACACACACACAAGCTCAGTGTGATATCAACGTCTTAGTACAGCCTAACAACCTACATTTCTAACGTTTTCTTCGTGATTCCTAAACACTGTCATGTGGATTAAAAAACAAACAAACAATACCAAAAAACACACACACACAAGCTCAGTGTGATATCAACGTCTTAGTACAGCCTAACAACCTACATTTCTAACGTTTTCTTCGCTGTTACTAGTTGGAAGTGATAGATTAGAAGGTCAGTAGCTAGTCAACACCACCCACCGCCAACTCTTTGGCTACTCTCTACCAACGAATAATGGGATTGACCATCACGTTATAACTATCCCCCGGTTGAGCATGTTCGGTGAAGGAATTCGAATCTGTGACCCATAGATTGTGAATAGAGTACCCTAACCACCAGGTTAGGCCAAATGTTTAGTTATCTTTGTTATTACGAAAATCTCTGAATAACTGCTTATGTGCCATCTCTAACTTTTAAATATAGTTTGTTTGTTTTTTAATCCACATGACAGTGTTTAGGAGCTTTAGACGAAATTCAAAAACAAAAACAAAAAATACCAAAAACATTATTATAAATTCCCAAGTTATTTCGCTAAGATATGGACGATGTTACACACTAAAGGTGATAATGGTTACAAATTCACACTGTTCATGAAAACATGATGATACAGAACACCTAAAAAGTTACTGCGTTCAAGTATTTTCATGCTATGACGTAAGCTGATGAAATGGAATATTAAATTTTCTAAAACTGAAGTTTATTTCAATTACATTTCACGAGACTCTGGAGAAGCATAAAGAATTAAATAAGATAGCTATAGAAATAAATGTAAACTTCACGCTTCGTCTGATACGAGATAAATGAGTCAAAATTTCTGCCCTCTCCCCTATAAGCTCAATCACTCTGTAACTATTATTGTTCATGAAACATATACGACAAACATATTCCGGCCAACCTGATAAGCGTGGTATCAGGCGAAAAGTATCGTCAGCACTAAATACACAGCGTGGTCACAAGTAAATATACACCACCTTTTCAGAAAAAATGACATTTTTCAGTCATATTTACATGAATTGATATATTTATAATTTAATTAATATCTAGTAGATCTTCCTTTCGCTTCGTGGAGTTCGTTGATCCTTTGGGGCATCGTGAGAATCATCTCGTCAATTTTAGATTTCGGGATTTTCGCCCACTCTTGGTTCAAAACTTGGAGTAGATCGCACTTCGAAGTTGGTTTTTTGGTTGTTTCTTGACTTGCCGATCGAGTATGGCCCAAAGGCTTTCGATGGGGTTCATG